AAAGAGTGTAAGACACTTCTGGTCACAAACAAGGCTCTTTGGATCAAATCCTGTATTTGATATAAAATAGTGTTTGCTATATATGTGCAATCGCTTTGACTACAGAATGCCAATTGTGCCTTTTTTCTTCCACACAGGCATATGTATATCAGAATAATATATATTTGAAACAAGATCCTAGAGAACCTTCTATTCAAATAACTACTAATGGAAAACCGAATGAGATATTTAATGGAATTCCAGACTGGGTTTATGAAGGTAACAGCATTTCAGATAATATTATTACTATGTGAAGTGATTGTGCCCCATTATATTTATTTATTTATTTATTTATTAAGTTTTTATTTCTCATAAACAGACATGGTTTCTTAACATCCTTTATTTGGGCTTTTTATATCTTCAATGCCTGTTCCCTCTGAACATTATTTAATTTTTTTAAAAATGCATATTTCCCAATCATCTTTTGGGCCTTTTCTTTTTTTGTTTCATATGTATGTCATAAAATTGTTTACTTTCTTTGTTATCCGGACATTCAGAAACTGTTACTCTGTAGTGGGATTGCTTGCACTGTATATAATAACAATTTGTTTTTACATAGTTAAGGACAATTGTTTTTTCTTTTATTTTGTTTTTGTGGCCTCTGGTACTCAGTACCGTTGTGTTTTCCTACTGAGGTCTCTCTTCTTTTTTGCTCTTTTTTACTGTTATGTCATGTACCTTTTGTCCATAGCTCTAGGACATTTTTGCTTCTGAAGGACACCACTGGGATATATAGTAGGCAGGTTTTTAAAATTTCTTTTTCTGTAACAGAATTTATATCTATAAGTTGGACCTAAGGAATGGGAGAACAAACTACATAATGAAAGAATTTCAGTGCAGTCCTAAGAACACTTTCCTGGGACTAAGCCCCACTAAATAGACCTTAGTAGTTAGTTGGTTAGTTAGTTAGTTAGTCAGTTAGTTAGTTAGTCAGTTAGTTAGTTAGTCAGTTAGTTAGTTAGTCAGTTAGTTAGTTAGTCAGTTAGTTAGTTAGTTTATTAATACGGTCAACAACCAACACAAATCACAATACACAATACAAAGTATGCCAAAATTATAAATAAATAAAAAATAATCCAATAAATAAGTAGATGGGCTATATGAAATGATTTAAAATAGATAATTACTTATTAAAATAAATATTGTTTAAAATTGGTGTATTGCATAGAATATCTTTGCAAATTTTACAGGCAGCTGCAAAAAACCTTTTACAAGAAGCTGTAGTCTGCAAATAGATGCCCATAAGAAGCTTCTTTGAAAACAAAGTAAGAGCAGCCCAGGAACCTTCTGTGCTAGGCTTGCAAGGTCTTACCTGGCTGTCAGCAAGGGTGCTCCTGTCCAGTCCCAGGATCTTCTGGTGTGTGCATCTGGAAGTGACATCATCGCACTGGGCACGACGTGCAGGGGGCGCTCTAGCATTTGGGTAAAAAACTCTATGGTCACCATAGAGTTTTAACCCAAATGCTAGAGCAACTCCCACACAATGTGCCTGGCACGATGACATCACCTCTTGGGTACATTATTGCACTGGGCACATTGGGTGCAATGGGGCTCTTCGAGGGCAGGGCTCCCCCACTAGCCAGCTGGCCAACGGTGGATTGGGGGCCCCAAAAGCAGGGGGAAACCCATTCCAATAAGTGCCCTTATCCATGGAGGAGCAGAAGGATCTAGAAATATTAACCTTGCCAATCCCCTTGGAAAGAATACCAATTTTAACCAATACAGAATCACTGCTAACCATAGCCTCGCCCTTACCGTTATCATACCCGATTCCAGACGTGTACGAGTATTTGGGACATCATTAGGCACTTGTAAAATTGTTCTCAAAATTTTGATTGAACCGTGTCCAATTTCCTGATGTTTGAAGTGATATTAATTGGAGCTCCATAGGTATGCTGGGCAAGAGATTTGGCCTTTAACCCTCTTAGAGCTGCTACCACATTTTTGCCCCCATTGTGCCAGTAGAATTTTTGAATTGCTCCTGAACAAAAAATTTTTAGGGTGGCCTGGGCAGATCTTTGGCCAGTCTCAGCCACATGCTCATGATGGGCATTCCTTGCTCCTGATTATTGTAACATTACTCCCAAATACTTAAAGCTTGCAACCTGCTCTACCCTGTAACTGTTGATACACCAGGCCCTGATTTTAGGTCTCTTCCCAAAAGACATGATTTTTGTCTCCTTGAGAAGCTTAACATTTAAAATGTGAACTGTTCTTAAAGGTACAAAATAAAATACCTGTGTTCAGAATCTCTAACTAGAAACCTTGGGCCAAATCTGGTCCTCTAAGAGATTCAGTCTGCAGTTAGCAGTGAAAAGGCCAGGATGAAGAAGGGGAGAAATAACTACTGTGAAAGCTGGGCTTTCCAGAAGATTAGTCTGAAGGACAGAAAGGACTCCAGCTCTGTCTTCTTGTAGCCCTCTGGAGAAACTAGTCATGGATCATTGTAACTGATCATTCATCAAGTGCTTATGCTTTGCTCAATGCTACACAGCAATAAAATCAAACACAAATTCTGCTTAAATTCTAAAAATAAGGAAACTCAAGGCTGGGAAACTACTCCACTCTGCTTACCTGCCTGCAACTTACCCTGCCTCCAAAGTCTCCCTTTACACAGCACAGAGGATGAATTCCGCTGGGCGACAGAGGTGCATTGCTTGTACTTGCAGACAAGTGCATTTGATCAAAGTGCATTTGATTTGTCCTTAGGAGAGAATATGTTCTGTATATACTTGTGCCTTTATAGGATAATATCTACATAAAATCTTCTTTTGTAGTAAAAACATGGATGACATCTAACTTGATTTCTCCTAGAGGAAATGCTTGCTGTAAAGTATGCACTCTGGTGGTCTCCAAATGGGAAGAACGTGGCATATATTCAGTTCAATGATACCGACATACCTGTTATTGAATATTCGTATTATGGTGTGGATCAGTATCCTAGAAAAATAGCTATTCCTTATCCAAAGGTATGTCATTTTTTAAAAATAACATTGTCATTCAGTTGAATAAGATTTTATCACAAAGAATGTCTTGACAACATAAATAACGTTTCGTTTTCTATTTTCTACTGTGCAGTCCTCCACAGAATCACACCCTCCTAAGCACACTGATTTCAGTCAGACCATCTTATGCAGTATTTTCTCGAGTCTGATAGGCAGTGACTCTCTAGGGTACTACTCCACATGAAGCCAGCTGGGTGACCTTGGGTCAGTCACAGTTCTCTCAGAGCTCTCTCACCCCACCTACCTCACAGGGTGTCCATTGTGGGGAGAGGAAGTGAAGGTGATTGTAGACTCTTTTTTTTAATTTGGTAAAAAGTTTTATTTCCCTCTCACAGCTCTTCTCCTTCTTCTGAATCCTGCCCTTAAATTTTAAAAGAAAAAGTGAATGGAAGAACCAATCACTGCAAAAACATAATCATATTTTAATGTATATTATGGGATTAGCACCTATAATAAACCCAATTAATCGATGTGAGTACACTGTGTACACTTTTTTGGGGAAAAATATATGCATATAAATTCAGAGTAAAGAAACAGGTGTCCTTCATGGAGATGACTTGAACAAGAAATTGGTGGTTTTAAGTCGCAGTTTGCCAGAACATTCTTCTAGATCTCAGCAACTAGAAGTCATACCAATAGACTTTTGATAGGTAGAGTCCAGGGGCAGCAACCATTTTAGTCCAGGCACTAAAAAAATCAGTCTACCTGTTGAAGATGTTGGTGTGCATGCAAACAAGATGGGGGGGGGGGAAGGGTTGGACTTGACCAGGTAGGAATGTTGCAAACCAAGCCCCAGGGCACTGCTAGCACCTCAGAGATTAATCTTGGACTTGGCTGGTTGCTCCACAGGTCTAGGAATTGATGATGAGCATGAGCTATGCCTGTTGCCATCTCCTGCACTACTGGCTCCAACAGTGCTGCTGGGGCCCAGGTTGTGTGGGTGGGTGCCAAGCCCTGGTCCTAGATTCAAAATGGTCTGGTACGCTGCTGTTGGCATGTGTGTCAGGGGCTCTCATCCCTTGATATAATCATTCAAAGAAGCACAGTGACTGCAGGTTTGCGAAAGGACAGTTTCTTTTTTGCTTTGATAGAGAAATTGCCTGTGGGATTGCCTAGAGCAATGGCCCTGTATTGTGCCAACAGGTGTCACAGAAATTAACTAAATAACAGTGCAATCGTAGATTGGTGGCTCAAGTGGTTAAGACGTTGAACTGCAGGCTGTGGAAGGTCGGTACTTCAGCAGTTCGAGACCCGGGTGCCGCATGATGGAGTGAGCTCCCATCTCTAGTTCCAACTCCTGCCAACCTAACAGTTCGAAAGCAAGAAATTGCAAGTAGATAAATAGGTACCACTTCGGTGGGAAGGTAACAGCGTTCCATGCACCTTGGTGTTTAGTCATGCCGGCCACATGACCATGGAAACGTCTTCGGACAGCGCTGGCTCTTCGGCTTTGAAACGGAGATGAGCACCGCAACCCTAGAGTCGGATTCGGCTGGCTTTCGAGCAAGGGAAACCTTTACCTTTACCTTAAGTTCATTGACTTCCATGGACTTAGAAAGGTGTGACTGTGTTCAAGATTGCAGTGTAACGAAGTAAATTGTAGTGCTTTTAAACTGTGAAGTCATGCAAAAAGTGTCTCATGTCTTTCTAAAGTGGCTAGGGGAAAAACATTTCCTGAAAACTGAAGTTAATGTTGTATTTTTAAATATCTTAACTAAATATTGCAAAGATCAGTTTGAATAACCAGATAATACATTTCCTTTGAAGGCTGGGGCTAAAAACCCTACAGTCAAGGTGTTTGTCATAGACACCACAAACCCTGAAGTTTTCGGTCCTAAGGAAATACCTGCTCCAGCAGTGATAGCCTCAAGGTAGTATGTTCTTATATTCACCTTTTCTTCTCCTTTGCTGCTGATTTTTGTTTTTCTTTTTGACAGAAATATACTATCATTTCAGCTGACCTTTTCCTGAAAGGTTCTTTTCTATGTGATAGTTCTGATCTGTTTTATGTATCAGGAGTGGAAAGTTTCATGCCTGATTTTCCACTGCCTCCAGAACACCAGGATCTGATCTCTCATGTGTATATTAATACAACAGCATGCTGTTCTTATAGTAAAGCTTTCTTTGTATCGCTCATTTCTAGTGATCATTATGTCACTTGGATTACATGGGTAACGGATAACCGAATTGGTGTGCAGTGGCTGAAAAGAGTCCAGAACTTCTCGCTCTTGGCTATTTGTGACTACAATGATCGTTCTAGATCCTGGATGTGCCCAGAGGTACTCTTGTCTACAGGGCTTGCTTTTAAAATAAAGGCTGCTGCAATAGCTACTGATGATGATGCATACACAATTATTATATACAAAACAAACAAACTAAACCTACAAGCAGTCATGTTGGTCCATTTAAAAATGTACAAACTCAAGAGCTGCTGCAATAGCTACTGATGATGATGCACGCACAATTATTATATACAAAACAAACAAACCTACAAGCAGTCATGTTGGTCCATTTAAAAATGTACAAACTCAAGAATAGCAATAATCTTACTTGGTCCAGAGGGAGAGGGGTAACTGTGTTAGTCCCTTCCAACAAAAGACAACAGAAGTCCAGAAGCATTTTCAACATTAACACTTAGTGAGTAGGGTTTTGAACCTGGATCTCTGCAGGCGTACTCTGATATACTGGTCTGGTTCAGGATATTTGGGGCAAAAGGAGCCAGAAAAGTGTTAGTCAAAAATTTCCCTCTGTATCCACAACATATTCTCAATATGAAATTTTAGGTTAAAACTGACAAGCAGGATATATATCCAGAATCGATGTAGTAACTGATTTCCCTTAATTTTGTCCAGTCCTTTGTGAAAGAATAAGTCTTGTTTTCCCACACTTCTTGGGAGGGCTTTCCTGCTAGAGCTGGAAAAATGTGCAGACCAAGCTGCTGTGCTTCCCTATGACCTGACACTGCTACTAGGGATCGTTTCTTTTAGCCTTGCTTATATTCATGCATCTTTCCCACAAATTATTTCTTTTCACTTTATTTTCATCGCCGTACCCCGAGGCAGAAACTCTGTGCATACATTGCAGTGCAGAGCTAAGGCTGTTGTAGAAGGCCAATGCGTTGAAGATTATCTATGTGAAGTGGTTTGCTGGACTTGAAACTAGAGTGGTCAGCATCCTGGTGACCTCCAGTCCAAAATGATGCTTCTCAGCATGCCCTTGCCTCTGCATGTAGTTGCCAAAACCTCTTTTGTGGTGTGTTTATAAAGTGCTTTTATCAGATAAATCTGTGCACCAGTGGTTTGATATCCAGAGGTGCAAGCAGATGGAAGAACTCCATTAAGCCTTGTTTGCTCAAAAGATCTCTGCATGAAAATATGTCCATCTCTTTCTTTGCTTTCCCATTAAACTCGAAGTTTAATGCATAAGAGATGGTGACTACTCCATATACCATGAGATAATAAAAATGGAGTAGTCAAATATAGCCAGGGAATCTGATTTTGCAAGCCCAGAAGTGTGTGTACAGAGTGCATGCTTAAAAGCTGCTCAGGAAAATATCCCAATGGATCAGTAAAGCTGTCCTTCCGAGTAAAAACTGACTCGCAAGTAAGAATTTGCACGATCAGACAGAATGTACCTAGTCCCACCAAAACCTTTGCCCTGCTTTTCAAACATGAACAGTCCTGTAGAAGTCAATTAGACCACTTTGATGAGTTATGTGTCATGGGACTATTTGCACTTTTCACTTGGATTAACATGCATCTGCGTTTAATTTTATATGAGCCCAACACATTAGTTGAATGGTGGGTGCTTTAGAGGGAAATGCATTAGAGGAACTCACAATGGTTTAATGCACTTGCACCATTTCCCTTGGTCCTGCATCTGTATCAAGATCTGATTCTCAACAGGGCAAAATCTGTGGATAGTTAAATCTGGAGATCGGAGCCATGACGGGTATTTCCACAAACTTGGAAAACTTGCTAGGTTAGCAGAGAAATCTGAATTTAAAAAAAAATTACATTGGTGTTTTTTTTAAAAAACAAACCCAAATAATAGAAGCAGTTTTAAGAAACAGATGCCCTCAATGGTTGTTTGTAGACAATCACAACAGTACTGCCTTACAGCCTTGGGTCAAATCTGCATTTGCATTTTTAAATCAGTTTCGTGCTGCTCTGACACCGTCTTTCTCTATGCTTGTTTGAACGTTGTTTGGAGAAGATTCTTTTAAAGCAGTGGGGAGGTGAAATGATAGTGGAGCTGCCATGAAAGGGCAATAAACATATGCGGATGCGCAAAAGTATGCTAGCACTGTTGAGGTGTGAAAACGAAACCAAATGTAGAAGCTTTTTTGAAGATGGAGTCAGAAGGCTGGGACACCGGTGGGAAAGACAAATGCAGATTCGACCTGAGTTGCAATTCCATGGCTGTTTTGGCCTTTGTGGGAGGACTCACTGGGGCCAGGCCCACCAGCAAACACCAGGTAACTTGCTACCAACTGACTTGCATGACTCACCCTGTTCAACAGCAGCCAGCCCACAAACCAATGTTATGTAGTGGTTAGAATTTCCACCTAGGGTCTGGGAGACCCAGGTTTGAATCTCCACTTTGCCTTGGAAGCTCACTGGGTGATCTCAGGCTAGTTACACATTCTCAGCCTAATCTTCCTCACAGAGTTGTTGTAAGGACAGAGTGGAGAATGATACAAGTGGCCGTGGATCCCCATTATGGAGAAGGGCAGGGTATAAATAAAGTAGATAAATAAATATAGGTGAAGATGGAGGGACAGTTAAAAGAGGTTGATTGATGAGTAGGAAGGAAACTGGGAAAGGTAAGGATATTCCAAAAGTAGGGAAAGAGGAAATGCTGTGGGGAGAGGGATACAGGGGATAGTGAGGTGCCCCACACAAGTCCCTGCAGGTTCCCCACTGCTCAGTTGGGATTGGTCTAGTATCCATGCCACGCAACTATGTCAGTTTTCCCATGTAGAGGCTGCCAGTGAAGGGAAGGAAGAAAAGCTGAAGACGGGAGTAAAGATCAAGGTAGGCTGGCTAGCAGGTGGAAAAGAGAGGAGGAAGTGGGAAAGGGGGCAAAGTTATGGGGGCTTCCAGGAAAGAGAAAGTAGAAATCGTGTGAGACGGGAAATTGAAGTGCCCCCCTCAAGTCCTTGCAGGTTTCCCTCTTCGGCGGCGACCTCCAGCGGGCACCAGCAGGGAGCTCCAGGCCCCGCCCTCCCGCACCTCACCCGGGGGGATGGCGTCCCCGCCCAAATGACCCCTGTGTAGAATACTGTTGTGAATCTGCTGGTAGTGGTAGGGCATCCTGTGTGCCTTGCCAGAAAATAGTATGTGTTACTTTAACAGTTTTCAAGCATGACATGCCAGATGTTTACTTTAAATATTTCCTCCACCCCTTCCACACCTGTCCCTCCTTCCCCATACACAGGCCAAACAAAACGCCACATTTTGTTAGAAGCTGCATCCAGAGGCTTTTTCTGCAGGGAATGGTATTTTAAAAGTCCATAGGGGCTAGGGATGCCATTCCCCAGGTGGGGGCCGGTATCCCCACTTTCATGGGCTCCTGCTGGCTGGCGAGAGAAAATTCCCCCCACCTCCGACACCATGCACAACACACTGACGTCACTCAGAAATGATGTCAACGCGTTGGTGACGTCGTGGGGTGACGCTCTGCTTGTTGGGCAAAACTTGGTTTGAGGCTGTTTTTACCATAGAGTTTTGCCCAAAAAACAGCGCACCACCCCCAACGTTGCCAACATGCTGCTGTCCCTGCCCACCCCCAGAATGCCCCTCATGTCCCCCCACTGGTGCAACGAAGGGAACTGGCAACCCTAATAGGGGCCCAGTTTGTCTTGGAATCATTACATGAGGGGAGGAGGAACTCCTGCCCTCCCCTCCATGCCCTTTCCTGAGCAGAAATGGCCCTGGGGGGGTTTATTTTCCCCATTTGGAGCTGCACATCACATACAGCTCTAAAATGGGACAAATATATATAAAGCGCGCGCACGCACACACACACAAAAGATGTATTTCCTGGTGCAGCTTGTATCTGAGCAGAAGTCATAAAACTAATCAATAAAGAATTAAAACAACCATTTAAGGGGCAGCAATAAAATAATATGAAAAGGTCTTTAGAACAGTAGTAGGAGCAATAAATTATTAAGGAGCTAGAGATAGCAGTAATTGAACGTAAATGCTCAGCTGAGAAATCAAGATAACAAAAAAACAGCAACAAGTCTCAGGTACCAAAAAATGATGTTACATGATATGAAAAACGTAACAAACTCAGTTCCACAGTTACACAACAGCACTAGATGATTGGAGAAAGGGAGGTTGCTGAAAAGTACTGAGACTTACTCGTGATTTCAGCTCTCATACTTTATTTCAGCTCAGAACAAAGACAAGTTGCCCAGCTCGCAGGCTGGTTTATATGCACAACAACCCCGCACCCAAAACACACCCACACACTAGTGATTGGCTATTTACAGTGGTCGAGAGTTCCATAGACTCTCGACTGGGAGCCTAGCCTGCCGATAGGTGCGGCTAGGATCCGCTTGTCCCATTGTTCCTGCGAGCAAAGCTCGAGGGCTTCGCCTGCTATGAGACAGCTTTATGGGGGAGGGGAAGAGGCCCATATGCCATCTGTCTTCCTTTCCTTTCCTTTCCTTTCCTTTCCTTTCCTCTCCTTTCCTTTCCTTTCCTTTCCTTTCCTTTCCTTTCCTTTCCTTTCCTTTCCCACATCTCTGCCAGCTCCCTCTCACACCACAGTAGGATTTTTAAAGTTTCTTCAGTTCCCTTCCTTCTTTCCACGTGGCAGAATCATATATCCTTTTTTTCTCCCCACCTAAGGAGAAGGGTTCCCCACCCTTCCATGTTATTTGCCTTCATGTTGGTGGCCATTTCCAGATTAAAGAGGAGACTAGGAGCACCTTAAATGATTTATGCTGGAATAAATTTTGTTACTCTCCAAAGTGCTCCTGTTTAATTTTGATTTGCAAATTTCACAATAACTTGTGTCGTTCATCTCAGTTTCCTATCCACATAAAGCCAAAAGGTTTCTCTAAACTGTCACTGCTAGTAGATAACTTAGGGGCTTCCTGTCCTCCTTTCCATCAGATACACAGGCCAGTAAAAGATGGAGCCCCTGGGAGGAAAGGAATTCTTTTGCTGAAATTCAACACTGTGAATTTTTAAAACTGCAAAAATTCTGTCTTCAGAGAGCAAATTCACTGAGAATAATTCAGGAGGGTCCAGAGACTGTAACAAAATATTGACTCTGACAAAAAATAATAAACACATATGTATATGTATAAATCATTTGTGCGCAATGTTGTCAACCATAGCTTACTAATCATTTGTTTTCATGTAGCAATTGGAATGCTGAAAGGCTGAACCAAAAACTGATTCAAAATGTTGGCAGTACACTAAGAACTTTGTAATAAGTCAGTGTCTAGCTGTGCTGTCCTAATCAGAGTTACACCCTTCTAAAATGCATGAAAATGAGAGGGCTTGGAAGGATGTTGATCTGTTTAGGACTGCACTTTAAAACGTTGGATGACTTTTATAATAGCAGGGTGACTTTAATGGAGTATTTTCAAATTTTGTAGAATGTGTTCTGTACAGCTGTGGAAGCTGTAGAACATAAGCTCCCAAGCTCTGCCAATTCTTAAGAAGCTGAGCGTGAAGACCAAAGTAACAGTTTTAGAGCAGTGAGGCCGCTCTGGAAGCCCCCTGACTGTAATCAATAATATACATAATCTTTCATCACTAAAACCAAGCTCCAAAACAAATGAACAAAAACTCCCCACACCAGTTCTGCAAGCAGCAAGCAGAAACTGGTGGTTATGCATGGTGCTGATTGATTGTTTCTTCCATGAGTTGTCCAAAAAAATCGTCCACATCGTCCCAAGATGTCCGAATAGTTTTACTGTTTATTTGGGGGTTTTTTTCAATGCCTGAGTGGATGAATGAACAGATGGACATATGAATGTGCATGAGCTGCTTTTGAAAACTCAGGGCGAAAGTGAGTTGCCTGTTTGAAGGAAGGGGCAAGAAGAATGATTGAGCCAGCATTCTTTTTGTTGGTATGCGGGGCTATTCAGTTGCAAAGTTAGGATGAAGACAAGTTCTGTGACTTTTGTGTGTGTGTTACGTCTGACGAAATTCACCAATGCAATCTTAAGTGAAATTCACCTTTATTCATTTATTTACCTAATAATTTAAGCTTTCGACTTAGAATGGTGCGGTTCTACTTAAGACTGCACTATAATTGTTCCCATTCTTTTGTAACCATTTTGAGATCAAAGAGACCAGAGGAGATTAAACTTTAATTCTTTGCTCTTTTAAAATCAGAGTTTTCAAAGAAAGTTGTTGTATGAAGTTTTACATGATTATGAGTCAGTCTTATAGAGGGAAAAGAAGGTATTTGAGGAGTTTATTTGGTTTTACTCTGTAATGTTTTAATAGCTACTTGAAAGCTGTCCTGAGCCAAGTGGAAGGGTGGGGTATAAATATTTTCAATCAAGTTGAATAAATAATGAATAAATATATTAAAAATTCTATATATTTTTTTGCAATAAAAGGTTTTGAAAAATAGGAAGATGGAAGCTAGGGAAAAAATCTTACTACTTTGATGTGTGAAATTTTGATTTACCGACAATGTGAGCCCAGTTCAAATGAGAAAATATTTCAGCGGACCTTGCGGGAACCTCTCATAAAGGCACAGGAGATACTGCAAAAGAAACTCTAGAAAGTTTTAAGATATTGCTTCAAGCTGTAGGAGTTTAGGTCATTTTATGGTTTTGGTAGGGGCAAAAATGTGATTTACAAATGATGCGAGAAGCACCTTAGAGACCAGCGCAAGGGTATAAGCTTTTGAGAGTCGAAGTTCCTTTTGTCAGATTCAAGTTGGAATGGAGATCTCAGGAGGGGTGTCATAAAGAACTTTTGTCGAGGATACAAAGGTACAATGCATAGTGTAATCAGCTTGATTACAGCAGAGGGGAAACATTTGGGGGCAGAAGATTAGCATCTGTAGTGAGGTAAGAATCCTGTGTCCCCTATTCAGCCCGGGGTGGGGGTGGGGGTCTGTCTGTTGTTCTGAACTTGTGAATGAACCCAACTTCTGACTGGGATTTAAAAAAAAAAAACCTCCGTTCTCCATTGCTACTCCTGTCTCACAAAGGGAGTGTTGACTCTTGAAAGCTGAAAATCTTGTTGGTCTTTACGGTGCTACTGGACTCCAATCCAGCTGTTCTTACTGCAGACTAACATGGCTACCCTCTGAAACTGTTGACAGATGAGTGGTTCTTAACAGGGAGATAATGAAGAATCTGGTGGTGTTTTCTGGTGGTTGCAGTGAATTGGTACATACCAGTCTGGCTCCTCTGCATATAATTCTGATGATGCCCATATAAATAGTAATTTGCATTTGGCAGATACCACAGGAAGAACCACAGTGCATCCTAAGCAGAATTACACCCTTCGAAGTCCATTGATATCAGTGGACTTTCAAGGATGTAACTCTGCTTAGTTATTTGCCTCGGCAGTACAATCCTGATTAACACAATTCTTGTTATATACATATAATATGCACAGCAGGGAAGGGAGAAACACCTGAATGTCAAAGGCTTATTCAAGTTCCTTAAAGGTGATGGGTTGGTCAAAGACGAAAACACAAAGTGCTGAGGTGCGAAGCCTCACAATCCAGGATAACACTACCACCAGTCCTCTTAATTAACCCGCCAGCCAGAGACCAAGGGACTTGGTCTCGAACCCTCCTGGGTCAAAGTTGAAGAAATCAGCCCTACAAGGTAGGACACTTGCAAGCTGAATTTCAGAGAGCAGTTATTCTAGCAGCTGTAGCCAGTAAGGGCTGAAGTGGGGGATTCAGATTGAACCCACGAAATATAATTAATGAGATTTATTAAAAGGATGTGCAGGAATGTACAATATATGAGCCATGAACAGTGAGAATAAAATAATAAAGCTTAATGTCTAACCTAAACACATTTACAAGCATTGGCTCTCTAGATCCAGGTGTTATCTGACAAGATTGTATCCAACATAGTTTCAAAGACCAGAACAAAGACCCGCATGGCCCAGTCAAAAACAGAAGGTGTCCTAAAGTTAGATGCCATCCAGACAAAAGACAAAACTAGAATGAAAGATCTTTCTTTTTTGCCCAGTGACCCAGGTTGGCACGATTCTTGTTGACCTATCAAATGTATAGCAAATGATGTAACTTTGAAGTTACAGACAGCTTGACCTCAGATTCCCAGAGGGAAAAACGTTTACTAGGCCTCAGCCTGAACCAATGTTTCTGAATAGACAAGAGACTGCTAGGCAAGCCAGTCTCTTGACACTGTGTTTCTTCACCACACCCAAACAGTCATCACTGATATAAATCTCTGTACTAGTCTTTCTGTGTCAGTTTTTGTGTTTAATTGAAGATTATGCTTTTTACATTGATGTTCTTACACTTTTATAAGGTGATTATGGTTTAAAAGTATGGAATTTGGCACACATACATTGCCCATGGAAAGTGTTTTTTTGATATGAATCCCAGTAAGCTGGCAGTGTCTCAGTACTGCCTTCACCCATCCTGATGCTATTTAACTTGATTTTGTTTTGCAGAATCGACAGCATGTAGAAGAAAGCCCGGCAGGATGGGCTGGTGGAGTATGATTTCTATTCTCTTTAAATGTTGGTTTTGTTAAGAGCATTCTATAGCTCCTAATTGATCTGTGCAGAGGCTTTTCACGGCTGTCAATCCATGCATTACACATTTCATTCAAAAGTTGTTTTTGTTTACTCATAACAGGCACAGATGGTCTTAAGAAATTGTTTAAATAAATTAAAACAAAGCATCATTTGATGGGGAAAAACAGAAGTAGAAAGAATGAGGATGTATTCCACACATAAGCATTACAGTACATCCCCACTTTATATGTGTCCCCCAACCAGTATGCTCGTGTTCTTACAACAAGGCACCTTTGAGTGGGGCCAGACAATTCTCCCGTCAGTTCCTGACAATATGGCTCATTAATTTTTTTCTTCAGGTCTTATGATAATAATGACAAAGTACATAGCGACTATCTGTGCCTGCCTCACATTCAACAGGGATAACATGAAAAAAGTGTATATTTTTTTTCTTCTTTTTTTTTTTTTTTGAAAGTCATATTTATTCGGTTTTTGAATACATTTCATCATGTATACAAATTCTACTTATAGAAAAAAAAAAGTGTATTTTGAAAGGTACCCCTCTGCAGTTGAATTTTTTTAAAAAAACTGGGGGAAAAATATGATCATGGGCTAAATATATGATCAAGAGAGTGGCAAGATGGGTTGGAATGAATCTAAACAATGAACTACTTCATCCAAGAAGCAATACAACTTTGAGTAGCAGGCAAAATATTCTGATACCTCTGGACTTTTCCAGGATGATAAAGAACCCCTTTTTATGTTTCAGGATAGTTTAATGCTGTAGTCAGTGTCCACTGCCACCTAGCTGGCTGGTGGGCAGCCCCATAGCCGGAAATTTTGGCTTGGTAGGGCATGTGGAAATTTTGTGGGGCAGTAGGGGAATGGGGAGGGAGCCGCCTCTCTCCCTCACCTCCTGCAAGATTTAAAGAGCTTGCTGATCAGCTGGAGGCCCCCTTTAAATCTTGGAGGAGGGGAGGGAGAGGGGCGGCTGCAAGATTTAAAGGGCCCTTCAGCTGATTGGCAGCCACGTGTTCCACTGATCAGCTGGAGGGTCCTTTTAATGTCACAGGAAGGAGGGGGAGAGAGGCAACAGCTGTTGTGGGGTATTCCTCACATTTGAGGGGGCAGAGCCCTGAAATGCCCCACTGTAGCTACAGGCCTGCCAGTGGGAGGGAAATGATTGGGGAAATGGGAGAGTGGTTGGTGTCATGCCAAAGCCATGACATCACTTCTGCCATGACGTGGAAAATACCATCATCACATCAGTGACTCAGCTCTAGCTTTTCCTGGATGTTTGGGAGAATGCCAGAGCTATGCTGGCAATGTGATAATGTCACTTCTGTGTCACACCAGAACTGACACCACTGCATTGCTGCTAACATCTCAATGTTGCCAGCAAGCCATAAGGGCTCTTCTGCATTGTCATTTTTGTCACTCATTTTTCCCTATTGCTTTGGGTCGTCCCTCCTTTTCCAGTTGTGTTTTGCTCCCTCTAGGACTACTAGAGAGAGCAAAACACATTGGGGGGGAGACCCTGAAGAAATAGGGACAAACAAGTGACAAATATGACAATGCAGAAGAGTCTTAAGTCGCCTGCCAGTTCTAGGGAGGGTGATTTTAGCATGCAACTGTTGTTCTGACTTTTCTTCTTTGTCGCTCATTGGCATGACTTTATCAGTGTTGTTGTTTCAGTTTATGCAGTTTTCAAGGGAATAGCCTTTTTCATTATAATAAGCTGGTTTGGAGGCCTTGGGAGAGGCCAGATGGCAGGATGTAAATAAATAGATGCGGTTTTTGAAGCAATGTTTCTCACATTATCTGGAGCAAAGTGTTCTCAAGAAAATGCTTGTTTCAGCTTCTGTGCTTCTCATGTCCCTAGTCTGTTCAAAAACTTAAGTGCAGAATTTTTCATCCTGAACTACCAAATAAGTGCATTTTGAACATGCTGATTTGATGGACAAAAGTAGGGATTTCCGCATTTTTGAGAAACTCAGCACCTACAAAACATCTGGCATGAAAAATATCACAATGAAATGTGTTTGGCCAAATGAACATTTGTAGGTTTTTGTGACTGGATCTACTTTTGCACAAGAGCTGTGAAAAATCTAGTAGTTTCCTATAAATGTATTTCTGCTAATTTTGGTACATGTTGTTTACAGTTTTTAAATGAGATTCAGAGCTTCATAATGAGGTACCTGTGGTACATAGAATACTTCTGATTCTGTGGCAACAAGAAAGACTATGTTTTTATGGTAAATGTGACTTTGAACAGCTTTTTAGAGGGGTGTGACCATGCCCCAGTGACAGTATCTTTCAAAAGTTTCGATTCTAGATACATTTCAAAATGTGTAGTGGCTCCACAAAATCTCAGCAAAATGCACTATTATGATGCAAACCCCAAATGCCACACTTTATTGATTTGACATGGAATATCTGTATAGCAGGATGGCAAAACCTGGGCCTTAGTCTGGTTATATGTTTATTCAGTGTCTTTTGTGTTGCCGACAAGGTATTAATTTCTGTTTCCATGTCTTTTTTGTTTTTCAGTTCTTTGTCTCAGCTCCATATTTCACTTCTGATACCATTTCATATTACAAAATTTTCAGTGACAAGAATGGTTATAAACATATCCATTATGTCAAAGATTCTGTGGTATGTCGAGCAAAGAATGAATATAACATTCGTATGTCTGTACTGCAGCACATCTGCCAAAAATACAACATCTCACTTATCACCTTTAAATCTGTTGATTTTATAGGAAAATGCAGTACCAATCACTAGCGGACCATGGGAAGCCATATACATCTACAGAGTAACTGATGATGCAATGTAAGTATGTGAAAAGGCATGGTGTGTTGTTTATGTAATTTGTCAATACAATTTACATTCAGTGTACCAGCGATTTTTCTGTTATAGCAGAGCCCCATTTTCAAAGGTCAGGGGGGAAAGGGTCTTTCTAGATGACAAGAGAACTTGGATTTCCTTTAACAACAAATGACCTGGAAAAGCCTTGATGTTAAATGACAACATAGCTATTCAGACACACAGGCTGCAGTCACACACACTAAATAATCCACTTTCAATCCACTGTCAATGCACTTTCCAACTGGAGTTCACTGTGTGAACTGGCAAAATCCAGTTGGAAAGTGAATTGAAAGTGGATTGAAAGTGGATTATTTAGCAGTGTTCCCTCTAAGCTGAGTTAGTGTGAGCTAGCACACAGTTTTTTAGCCGCCAGCTCACACCTTTTTGTCTCCGCTCAGGAAGGATGGCTCCAGAGCAAACTAATTTATGCAGTAGCCAAATTGCTCACTCAAAACTTTAATGCCGGTAGCTCACACAGCAGAATTTTTGCTCACAAGAATCCACAGCTTAGAGGGAGCATTGTTATTTAGTGTGTGTGATCTCAGCCTGACAATCTATACATTGCCTTAATTTTCTCTTACATGTTTTCGTATGCCATGTTGGATCCCTGATGGGCTCATCGGATGTTTAATTTACAGTGCTATGACTAAAATGAGGCTATCGTACACCGCTCACATCATGAGAGGACAAAACTCCCTAGAAAAGACAATCACTGTAGGAAAAATGGAAGGCGGCAGGAAAAGAGGAAGACCCAGCATGAGATGGTTTGACTCAATCAAGGAAGCCATGGCCCTGAGTCTGCAAGACCTGAGCAAGGCTGTTAATGATAGCGCATTTTGGAAGATATTAATTCATAGGGTCTTGATGGAATTTAACACACACATCTTAAGGATCGTTTCACCCTTTGATTTAAATGGATGTAATTAATTTCAAAAGGTATAATTCTGTTTAGGATTGCACTGGCAATCACAAAAGGCAGCCATTAAGAAGGGGGTAGTTTGAATCAAGACTGCAGCACTGGGGATGTTAGAGGAGGTTAATCCCGTTTCTCGTTTTCCCTACTAAACATACCAGTCCTTTACTGCTTTTAGCCCCATATGGGGCAAAGAAAACCATACTTGGCACTTCTACCTACTGCTGTTTAACAGCAATTGAGAGGAGTGGATTATCGATCATAGTGGAGGAGGGAAACATTAAAATCCTCCTTCCATCTATCACTTCTCCTTCATCTACTTTTGGAACTAGATTAAAATCTAAAAATAATCTCTAACATCACATGCAGTGTGGCCCCAAGTTCTTCAATCCATGCTAGGGTTGCAAAACCCCCCCGGTTTGCCAGGGGTCTCCCATTTGGGGGGGGGGGTTCTACCCGCCGCCGGCCAGATGAGGGAAGCCCCACACCCAACACCCACAGCCACCCATCTCTCTCTCTTTAAGTGTGTGGAACCCATGTTTCCTCCCAAGCCTGATCTCTGCAAGCTTGCAGGGAAATGCCAGCTTCATGCTCTTAAAAGGGAAACGCCGGCTCCTTTAAGTGCAGGGAACTGCCGTTTCTGGAGATCTGGTGCACGGGCGGGGGGGGCGGCGGATGGCCCCAACGTGACATCATCATGTCGGGGATGAGCCGCCCCCTCCAGGAACGCCCCCAAAGTCCCCCGCTGGGGGTGGAAGATGGACTTGGCAACCCTAATCCTTGCTACCTGTATGCAAAATGCTTAACACCTTGTGTATTCTTTGTGCTGTCAAACCATAGTTTATATGACATAATAAATTGTGTTCCAGATTCTTTTCAAGCAATGAATTTGAAGGCTATCCAGGGAGAAGGAATATTTATAAGTAAGTTCCTGTCAAGCTTTAAGTAATGTTGTTTGAGGTATTTTCCACCTGAGATGATGCCTGATAATTATGAAGCATATGTAGATCATTAGTAATTGTGGAAAGGTTACTCTTAAGTTCCCTGTGACCTCGCAGCTTATTACCTCTTCATTCATATATCTGGATACACTATTGCCTGTGACCTTTGCCCCTTCAGCTCCACCCCTTAGCTGCCCAAAAGTCTCCTGGTCCCTTAAACAACCCTGCTTTTGTTCATTGCTGCCCTTTAACCCTTCCATTCAAAATTCCCTTTCCTTACTTAAACCAAGGCTAATCAAGTGCAGAAGGAATGATAAC